GGTATGTGTCTGACCCTCTCAATCAGTGGGGTATGTGTCTGACCCTCTCAATCAGTGGGGTATGTGTCTGACCCTCTCAATCAGTGGGGTGTGTGACGTATTGTATGCTCATTATGACGTATTGTCTAGAGTCTAGACAGTCTTGTGACTTACGTTTTATTCGTCCGGGAGTCGTGAAAGCAACTTTGTGAAGGGAGGTTGTGTTTTATTTTCTGTCTTATAGCGAGCTGCGCTATACGCATGTGTTTATGGAAATTAAAGCCCGTGTATATAATTATGTATTAAAGTTACATTTCTTGTGATAAAGGACTTGAGGGTCATTCAATTGGACTACGGCATATTACAACGTGTGGAAGAACTTGACGAATTATCCAATCTAGCAGAAACACAGAGCTGACAATTAGTATCGGGACCGCGTGGCTCAAAAAGCAGTTGGCCCATTCTGTCAACTTTATATTTTTTTTTTTATGTTTTACAATTTTAAAAAAATGAAAACATTGAGGAAGTATATGGCTGTAAGTTTTAATTCGTCTTCTTTATTACTGTCACCGTACTGGGTGCTCAATCCTTTAGTACACGAGCAGTGGCGTAGCGAGGATGTTTGGCGCCCGGGGACAAGATTCGCGCCCGGGGACAAGATCCATTTTTAGCGCCCCTTTTTCTTTTTTTTCAACACTCAAACCCATTATTTTCATCAATAAAATAATATCCAAAGCACATTTTGGCACCCCTAACTAGCTGGCGCCCGGGAACATCTGTCCCCCCTGCCCCCACCACGCTACGCCTCAGTACACGAGGCTTATGGAGCCCCGGCCCTGGCGTACCACAATCGCTAACAATGTACAATTCTGGGCAACTGTGTCCCTATGTTGACTGTACCCAGAGCCTCGAAATGCCTTAATCCGACCATGCAGCGTACCAATGAAAACTTCGATTGCAAACATGTGATAATTTTCAAAGTAATATTCGTATTCATGGATTTACTATAAGACCAAAAGAAACCATTTTTTTTTATTTTTTGGGGGGCTGGGGGGAAACCCCCAGGAGTGGCAACAAATAAGTTCATTAAAATATTTTTAAATAACTGGGTCATAATATTTAGTCTATAAATACACATATGTGTAGTAATTTATAAAAAAAAAAAAAATTATGCACTGCACCTTTTAAATTATTTAATCCCTTACTTCTCGAAAATCTAGACCACCCCTAAATAAAGAAATAAGTGCAACCGAGTCCTACAACTCTGAACATTTATTAGCCAATAAATAGAGAAACAAGATATGTTTGGGCTTGAAAAAAACAGACAGGACAATTACAAGGACGTTTCGGCTAAACTAAACACCTTAATCAGCAGACAAGACAACATAAGGAACAGCCAATAGAAATTAAAAACGCCTGTGTTGGAAGATTCTGAACAAAATATAGATCTTTTTGTCTGTTAAGAAAGATTTGAAACAAAAAACGAAAATGTTAGCCGGTCGTTATTATTTAGTTTTTATATGACAATAACTATAATTTGAAAGCTACAAGTTTTATTATCGCCTATTTCTAAAAAGAAAATGAGTACAAAAATAATGAACCTGTAATATATATATATATATATATATA